CGGTATCTGTCTGGAACTGGAGTCACAGTTAGTTAGGACCTCATTGCATTCTGGGAACTGAGTTCAAGTCCTCTGGAAGAGCTTGTAATAGCTGAGCCGTCTCTCAGATACCTTTCTTCCTTTCTTTCTTCCTTCCTTTCTCCTTTTTTTTTTTCTTTTTGGTTTTTCAAGACAAGGTTTCTCTGTGTAGCTCTGGCTGTCTTAATTTGATCTGTAGACCAGGCTAGCCTGGAACTCAGAGATCCACCTACCTCTGCCTCCCAAGTGCTGAGATTAAAGATGTGTGCTGCCACCACCACCAGGTCTTTCTTTTTTTAAAGACAGGGTCTGAATATGTAAGTAACCTAAACTGACCTCAAACTCACAATCCTCCTGCCTCCAGCTCTTGAGTGCCAGGATTCCTGGTATATACTACCACACCCAGCATTCCAAGAGTGTTTTCTATATGAATAGGAATTTGGGGGTGCTCAGGGCCTTCTCCTACAAAATCATGATTTTTGCCTCACATATGCAAAAGCCCCTCCCATTCTGCTCACAATACTGATGTATTTCTTCAAAGCTTGGTCCCAATTTAACCTTTACTGGGAACTTGTATCATGTAATGGTTAATCCCATCTCACTTTAAATGTGTGGGTCTCTTCCTAGACCTGACAGTGAAGTACTCATTTTCCTGTGTGCCTGGTAGGGACTATATGTTAACACCAGTGCTAACCAGCTTGGCGGCTAACCAGCTCCATGAGGACACAGATCGAATCCCCTGTCTCTTGGCATCTCTCTCTGTATGCATTCTGTGCAGTGATTCTGAGCAAGTATTTTGAACTAAGACTGACTGCCGAACACTTCCTCAAGTGTGAGTAATAGAATGATTTATTTATTTGAGACAGAGTCTCATTCTCATGTCACCAAACTCCTGAGCCTCCTGACACCGTCTCCCAGGTAATGGGCTCTCATCCGTGAGCTCCCACACCCAGCTAAAGGAGTAAGAGATCTTAAGGTGAATCTGCGCACATTTTTCTGACCCTCCTACGTTTATCCAGGCTGAGTTCTTCCAAGGGAGGAGCCCCACAAAAATGTTTCTGCAGTTGAAAAAGGATTAGTTTAGATGGGAAATGCCTCTCTGGGATCCCCTGTAGTGGGTAACCACTCCGGTTCCCATCACATAAACATGACACATCACGGCATCGTCCTGTGAATAACTCCTTACTAACAGAACTGAGTTGAGTTTCTAGGTAGTGACGGAAGGAAAATCATCACACCAGAATAGATGGAGACAAACTGGAGAGCGAGGTTCAGGCTCATCGTGTACTTTCATGCAGTGCCCGAGAGTGGGGACACCTGACTCTTACTCCAAACAAAGCAAGTAGACTTTCATGAGAGGGTGCAAGAAAATACTAGAAACCACTGTGTGGTGGCACACACCTGGACTCCCAGCAAGTCCAAGGTAGGTGGATCTTTGTGTAAAACCCAGACTGACAATATAAAGTCAGTCAGAGATCCGCCATGGTAAAGAAGAAAAGCATCATAACATGAAAATGTTAAAATGTATGTCCACCGTATGTGTGGGTGTGTGCTTACATGCAGAAGGCAGAGAAGGACACTGAATGTCTTCCTCTATGGCTGTCTTCTCTTGAGACAGAGTCTCTCACTGTACCTGAAGCCCACTGTTTGCTTGGACTGGCTGGCTAGGAAACTCCCAGGATCTGTCTGCCTCTGCCCCTCCAGCCCTGGGGTTCCAGACACGCATGGTCATCTGCTGCTATGGCCCGGGTTTTACACAGACACTAACTCATGTTTCGAACACACACCCCCATGCTTACATGCCAAGCACTCTTTCTTATCCACTGAGCCATCTCCTCGGCCCCTATAGACTTTTTAAAATTGGTCCTTGGCAGATGCCATACATAAAATAAATAACCAACAAACTCTCAAAACATGTTTTCTAGATACTTTAACGGAAATACAGCCTATCTTCATACCAATCATATCTCCATTATTAACCAAAGAATTCACACTCTCGGAATCTGTTCTCGTCAAGCACTTTGTATAACGGCTTTAGAAGCCATGAGTTTGTAATGTGAAAGTAGCCACAAGTGATACAAAAGCAAATGAGTTTTACTATATCCCCCATGAAACTCGTTATTAAGAAAGAAAAAGCCGGGCGGTGGTGGCGCACGCCTTTAATCCCAGCACTTGGGAGGCAGAGGCAGGTGGATTTCTGAGTTCGAGGCCAGCCTGGTCTACAGAGTGAGTTCCAGGACAGCCAGGGCTACACAGAGAAACCCTGTCTCGAAAAACCAAAACAAAACAAAACAAAAAACAAACAAAAAAAACCAACCAACCAAACAAACAAACAAACAAAAAAAGAAAGAAAAAAATCTATGGGCCACTTTGGACCACAGACCATAGTTTGCTACCCCTGCTCTATCAGATGGAATCTATCCAAATAGTCATGTATGTTTACCAAAAACTGAGTGTAGTTTAGAACACAATGATCTGAAATTCTAAAATAAACATACAGACTCCGTGCCTTGAGTCGCACCGGTACTCCAGTCACTTGAAATGGGAAAGAGGAGAAGCACTTGAGCCTGGGAGTTTGAAATACTCCAGAGCAATGGATCAAGACTTGGTCTCAAAGAGAAAGGAAAGAAGAAAGGCTATAAAATTAAGAGTAAAGTGGGCATGGTGGTGCACGCCTGAGTCTCAGCACTTAGAAAGCAGAGAGTTCAGGCCAGCCTGTCCTATATAGTGAACTGCAAGCTGGCCAGGGCCACAATAAAACCTCAACTCAAAACAAAGGCGGGAGGGGGGGGCTAAAAATACAAACATCGAGCTTTCAGACGGTAGGCTCAGGCTTGTAATCCCATCACTCAGAATACAGAAGTCGATCTGACTGGGGCAGCCTTGTCTGCATAGTGAATTCCAGGTCAGCCAAGGTTATCTGAGTCCCTTTCCTAAAACAGTAACAGGAATGGACAAGATGGTAAAGGCGTTTGCTGCCAAGTCTAAGGGCCCAAGTTCCTCACACAAGCCCCATGGTGGGAGGAGTACGCCAAGTCCCTCAAGTTGTCCTTTGACCACCACATATGTAGTGTGGCATACTCACACCTCCAGAGACAGAGAGACAGAGACAGACAGAGACAGACAGAAAGACACACAGAGTCAGCAACAAAGAGAGAAAGAGAGACAGAGACAGAAAGAGACAAGAGACAGAGAGAGACACACAAAGAGAGTCAGAGACAGAGGGAAAGAGAGACAGAGAGAGGAGGGGAGAAAGAGAGCACTCAAACAAATAAACAAGCCAGCATTGGCTCTGAAGGTCAGACCCCTACAAGTGAAATCTTGTTCAGTTTGCTGCCCACTGTTCATTCCCACCATTACCTCTGCTCTCTCTGAATCTTCAGAAAGAAAAGAAATCCACAATCCACATTCCTCTTCACACTCTGTTATCCTCAATTACCTCTCAAGAATGGAATGAAGGCACACGTTTTTTTCAACCGGCTGCTTAAGGAGACTGTGCAACTACAGACAGGCAGGACTCACACACAGAAGAGATGCTCCAGGACTCCCTTAGAGCCCTCGGCAGAAGGACCTCTGCGGCAGGTGGCTGCTGGATAAATTACTGCAGAACCCAGGAAACACTGGACAGCCTGGAGCCAGGTAGAGACCTTTTCTTGGGAAATCTCAGAGACAGCTGCAGTCATTCCCGTTGGGCCTGGGGGCCTGCCTCTCCTTCTTCCTTTGATCCTAAGGCACCTCCCAACCCTTCTTCCCCTCCCCTTCTTTCTCTCTATCAGTAAAGGCCAGTACACAAACCCCTAAGGGTGAAGTGTTGGCCTCACCCTCCCCTCCACTTCCCCACACCATTGTATCTGAAGTGGCTAAAGAATTCTCCTTCAGTAATGAGCTCAGAACAGTGACTCTTTCCAAAGAACCCTTCACCAGGCTTCAACAAAAAGCCTCTGAGAGCTTGCCTGGAGAAAAGTCAGGCAGGCACATCGATGATCCTACAAATTCCTGCTTCCAGACAGGCTTTTGCCAGTTGGGAGCCTTCCGCCATGTGACCTACACCTGTAATCCCAACACTCTGGAAACTGAGGCAGAACGGCGGTTACAAAGCTCGAGGCCAGCCTGAATGTCTAAAAACCAAAAAGCAACAACCACTGTTTCCTGTCTTCCCATTCAGTGTGGTCCGCCAGCCAGCCTCCTCCTGCCTGCGCCATGCTTCTCTCCAGGAAGACAAGCTTTTCTCCCCCTCTTGCCCGCCAGGCCGAAGTTAAAGAGAGAAGGAAGGGGTCTTAGTGACTGGGGCCATAGGAAAAGTAAGGGACGGGGTGGAGGAACACCCTGTGTGTGTGAAGAAAGCAAGCTCCTCTTGCTTTCTTCACACATCAGCACGGGGATTTGAGGACGATCCGGAAGTCCCTTCCTGACCTCCACAGCCTTCAGTCCTTTGGGAAGGAAGCAGCTGGCATCCTTTCCCTCTACTCCCTCTATTCATTCCCTTGAAACTCAGATGGGAGTTGAAGGCATCGTAACCCATCTTCCACCAGTGGCGAGGTGGCACATGTGGGAGTGGCCTAATGCAGTTCAAGATGTACTTCTCTTTTAATAATAGTGTTTAAAACTACTGTTTTGTTATCTGGAAACGGAGACTTATGTAGTCCAGGCTGACCTGGAACTCACCGTGAATTCAAGGCTGGCTTTAAACTCTTGATCCTTCTGCTTCTACCTCCCAGGTGCAGAACTACAAGCCTGTGCTACAATTTCTAACTGTTTGCTTATTGGTTTTTCTCCTCTGTCTTAGCCTGAGAAGACCAGAGAAAGCATTCAGAGGTGAGTGAAGCCAAAGGCTTCCTTTCTCAGTTTCATCAGTTTCTCCTAGCTAGCTGTAGTCCATCACGGGCTGTGCTATCTCAGCTCTCCTACCCCACGGCTACCCACGCCCCGCTCTCCGGATTTAAAACTGGCGCCCGGAGCGCTCCTGGGTAAGCCCCTCTTACCTGGGCGCCGCGGCGCTCGGGGTGAACCGAGAACTTGTGACTCACGCGTGGAAGGGGTGAGCGCGCAACCTCTGGCTGCTAGGCACGTCCCGGGACGAGGATCCGGCCTTGGCTGCGCAAAGCAGTTATAAAGGCTTCTGTCGCCGGAGGGAGGGAGAGGGTGAGCCGAGGTACAGGAGGCGGGGGCGGGGCAGAGGGAGAGGACACGCCTAATCCAGTTCCGCGGCACTTCTCGCTGTTATGAAAATAAAGTCACCGTGCCAGAGAATGAACCGAAAGCCTCCCTGACGTCAGAAGCACAGTCACTCATGAAATAGGTGGCAGGGTTGTGGGGGGGAAGCACCCTAGACTGCCAGGCGTAACTCCCGACTAGCGCTCAGGTTGGTCCCAGAGCGCCTATAGGGGAAAAGTCATACAGAGAACCTAGCTAAGGATGAGCGCTGCTGGCTGTCATCTCCTGGAGGGGGCCACACCCGTCCTTCCCGAGGGCACTCCAGGGCCCCAAGGGTAAAGACTTAGCCAGCAGCTCCTTTGTTACTTTCTGGGAGAAGTTGGTCTTCATTTCCCCTTGGCAGCACCTGTCTCGCCATCACCCACTCCTTCCTCGGGTGAGCAGGGAGGAGCCAGGTTTAAATGTGGGTCCCCCAGTCTCGGCTAAGGAGGTAAAAAACAAGGAAACGTCATAGCCAAGTTAGCACGGCCCGGCTGAGAGATCATATCGCCTTTCTTCCAACCACCTCTCCAAAAGTTTGACAAAGCAGTTGATCGGAACAGGGACGCCAGATAAAACTTTGAAATGAAGGAATTTGCCTTTGGTGTCTGATTCCACCTGCTTAGGCAGGTGCCCGCAGCCCATCCACTATCAGGCCAGTCTGGCTGAAACTTGCCTGTTCAGTGGTCAAAAAGTCCTGGAATGTGTTGTCGGGTCAGGTTCTAAACCTTCCCAATGTTTTAGTACAGTTTTAATACAGTTTTTCATGTATGGTGACCCCAACCATAAAATTATCTTTGTTATTACCTCATAACTGTGATTTTGCTACTGTTATGAACCTTAATATACATATCTGTGCTTTTTGCTGGGCTTAGGTGACCCCTGGGAAAAGGTTGTTTAATCCCTACAAGGGGGTGTGACCCACCGGTTGAGACCTGGCCTAGAGCAACCAAAAATCTCCTTTCTTCTCTCCACAACCTTAAATGCTTTTAAAATGTAACAATCTTGCCGGATGGTAGAGGCTCACACCTTTAGTCCCAGCACTCCTAAGGCAGAGGCAAGCACATCTCTGTGAGTCGGAGGCCAGCCTGCTCTACACAGTGAGTTCCAGAACAACCGGGGATACACAGAGAAACCCTGTGTCAAAAAACGAAAAGAAAATAATAAAATGTAACATGCTAGCCATGGTGGTGCATCCCTGTCACGCCAGCACTTCAGAGGTAGAAGCAGGGATCAGATCTCCAAAGCCAGTTTCTACTACATAGGACTTTGAGGTTACCTGAAGGTGACTTGCTGCAAATGGCAGTTCGAGTCAGCAGGAAGACAGAAACAGGAAGATGGCCACCAGCCTGAACCACATAGGAGTATGGGGCAGTAGGGGCTACTCACAAGAGCCTGTCTCAAAAAGGCAGAGGAGATGGATCGGTGGCTTAGCCAGTAAAGCATGTGCTGCCTAACCTGATAGCCAGAGTCCAATTCCCAAAATCCACATGAAGGTCAACCAAGTCCAAGAAGAGAACCAAGACTTCAAAGCTGTCTTCTGACCTACACACAAGACCATAGTGAGTGCTATACACACACACACACACTGCAATAGAAAAAAAAGAACGAGAGAGATAGAAAGACTCTATGTGAGCTTATGTTACAATGTGTAAGGTACTGGGTTCAAGCACCAGGACAAGAACAATCTAACTCTTCAGAGTCCATACCTCTATTGATCTCATACCCAAGAAGCCACAGCCAGTACTTAACTTGGCCATTTCCCTTGAGGCTTGCAGGTCAGAGGTCATCAAGTCCTCCTCCTCTCCTGGGGCTCACCAAGAGACAGGGGCCTGGGGAAAGGACTTTGGGAATGATGGGGCTGGAAAGGGCTTTTCTCCAAACTTCTATCTCATCTATAGAAACTTAAGCTAGACTAGTGTACAACAGAACCATGGGCTGTCTGCAATTTCTAGGCATGCATGTTGTAATGGCTATTCCTGGTTGTCAACTTGACTAAATCTGGAATGAACTACAATCCAAAAATGGAGGGTACATCTATGATCCAGATCTGGAGGCTGGAAGACACAAGTTTTTGACATGGATCGTGGCATGGAGATCTTGAGGCATAGTGGCCATGAAAAGCTTAGCACCAGGAAAGGTAGTGCACACACACATTTAATCCCGGGAGACTAATGCAAGGAGATCTCTGAGTTAAAGGTCAGCCTGGGACAAAGCAGGTCCCAGATTTAGGCACGGTGGTACACATTTTTAATCTGGGCCACACCTTCTGCTGGAGACCTAAATAAGGACATTGGAAGAAGGAAGATTCACTCGTCTTTGACGCTTGCATTTATTTGCCAGCACATCTGTTGGAATCTACTTCTACTGAAGACCAGCTGAAACAACTAGCCTCGTAGGACTGAGCAACTACTAGATTCTTGGACTTCCTATTCACAGCTGACCATTGGTGGGGAGTTGGACTACGGACTGTCAGTCATCACAATAAATTCTCTCAATATAGAGAGACATTCCGTAAGTTCTGTGACTCTGGAGAACCCCGACTAATACATATGTATATGTTGGGACAGCAGTTGGTCGGATTACAAGAGGTGAAAAGATATAGGGGAGCTGGGTGGAGTGGCTCACACCCATTGTCCCAGTGCTGGAGAGAATGAAGCAGGGTTCAAGCCTACGTCTCAAGTGCCATCCATATCTGGACTCTAAAGTGAGACCATATCTCAAGAAGAAGAAAATGAAGAAGGAAGAAGAAATGAGAGAAAAAAGAACTTGCTTTATCGTCTATTTAACCCAATAGATCCCAAATAGCATCTTCTCAGTACATTATCTTTTAAAACATGAGGCTGGGGTTGGGGGTCTGGAGAGATGGCTCAGCAGTTAGGAGTGACTGTTCTTCCAGAGGACTTGGGTTCAGTTCCCAGCACTCCCACGGTGGCTCATAACTATAACTCCAATTGCAGGGAACCCCACACCATCTCTTGGCCTCTCTGGGTACCCAGTACATACAAAGTACAGAGATTCTCTACATAGCCCTGGCTATCCTGGAACTCACTCTCTAGATTATGCTGGTCCCAAACTCAATGATCTATCTATCTCTGCCTCCCTAAGTACAAGAATTTAAGGTATTCACCACCACCACCACCACCACCACCACCACCTCCCAGCTAACAATCCTCTTTTCAATGAAGCAAGAGGCTGGTGAGATGGCTCAGCGGGTAAAAGTGCTTGTCATGAAGCTGATGGCCTGAGTTTTATCCCACGCAGTTGGAGAGAAACAACTTCTGCAAATTATCACACGTGTGTTGTAGCCTGTACATACTCAATAAATAAATAAGTGCATATATAAGTTTAATTTAAAATTGTTTTTTCCTTATAAATAAATACAAACTAGGCATGGTGACATATGACTGTAATCCCAGCACTTGGGAAGGTGTTGTTGGGTGGTGTTGAATTCAATGATATCCTGAGCTACATAGTGAAGCTTTGTCTAAAGCGTGTGTGTGTGTGTGTGTGTGTGTGTGTATTGAGTTACTCTGCATTGCTTTGCCAAACTAAGTCCTAAAAAGTCTAGCATGTTTTATGTTGGCAGTCCATGCCAGTTTACACCAGCCACACATCAGGGGATCAAAAGTCATGAATGGCTAGTGGCTGCCACCCTGGACAGCACAGAGCTGGCTGTCATTGAGGACACTTACAGCCCTGAGTCACTATGTCTGGGGTGAGGCTCATGACGTCATGGATAAGATGTCAGGTCTGGGGAAGAAGCGGGACAGAGGTGACGTGATTTCTTCTTTACCACCTGCCCTTTTCCTAAGAGCCAGGATAACCTCCCTGGGAAGCCCGAAAACCCAGTGAGAGCACAGGAGTGAACTGCACGTTCCCTGCCTTCCATCACCCTCTAGAATCTGGATGATGTCTGGCTGGCTGGTCCAGGCCTATGGCTGAGAGACTCTGTATGGCAGGGTGGTGGCGTGGCTTTCTCCCTGGTGTTTATATTTCACTTTGCCATTGACTTTGGATGCCCACCTGTTACACAGGAATTTTCTCCTATTGAAACATTTCCCTCCTGGAGGAAAATCCGTAAGACTCAGGAAGCCAATGAAAGTTACAAGGCCCCACCCCAAGGTTACATAAGCAGTTAACAATCTTTAGAGAGAAGAGTCTCTCTGGTGCAGATAGATGCCTGAAAGCTGGGCAGGAAGCAGCAAGGATACTTTTGTGAGTCATCCCCTGGTGCTGAAGTGGACTTTTTAGTGAAGCAGCTGCCTTTGAGTCAGTCACCCATGCTCCTATAAGTAAAACACCCAGTGAGCTTATTGGTCCACTAGGCTAGACTTGGGTGGAACTGTTTCTTTGGACTACAGTCGGTGTTCTGTCCAGGGTGAGCAGGCATTTGTTCATGTCTCCCCAGGAAAAGCCGTAGAACACAGCCTTGGTCTTTATTTTATTTTATTTTATTTTATTTTATTTTATTTTATTTTATTTTACATGTGAGTATTCTGCCTGCAAGTATGTGTGTGTACCATGCACATTCCTGATGCCCAAGGAGGTCAGAAGAGGATATAGAATTCCCTAGAACTGGAGTTACAGATGGTTGTTATTGGCTGTGTAGGGGTTGGGAACCGAACCTGGGTCCTCCGTGAATGCAGCTAGTGCTCTTAACCATTGAGCCACCTCGCCAGCCCCTGATTATTTTTTTTAAGATTTATTTATTGTATGTGTGTGTGCCTGTGTGTATGTGTATATACTGTGTATATGTAAAATGGAATTAGACCTCCTGGAGTTGAAGATACAGATGGTTTATGAGCGGAACGACTCATAGGTTCAGGGAACTGAACCCTGTTCCTCAAAATGATCAGCAAGTGCTCTTAACATCTGAGCTGTCCTTCTCCAGCT